GGGAGCGTCGAGCGCGCGGTGTGTGGCCTTTGGAGCGGCGGGGGGCGAGGGCAGGCGTGCCCTTGAGTGTGAGGGTCGGGGCGGGCTTGTTGCCGGGCTGTGAGGGGTCGCCTCGGGCTTGTCTGGGCTTTGAGGGGTGGGGTTGGGGTCGGAGACCGACGCGGGTGGGGGACGTAGTCTCCCCTGATGATGGTAGAGGGTGTGTCTTTGGGGGACTTGAGGTAGATCCGGTGGTTGGGGTTTTTGATGGGCGCGGGGTGTGGTATGTTTAGGGATGTCTAGAAGGTGATGGGTGGGGAGGGGGGCGGGATAGGAACGGGGAGGGGGCTGTGATGTGCTTCCCTGGTGACTAAGACATCCCGCCTCCCCGCCTTTTGGCGTGGGTCTATAGGAGGCTCAGCTCACCTGGAGCTGGCCTTCCACGTTTCCATAGCAACCAGCAGCCCCGTGCCGGCGGCCTTTCGGAGCCTGGGCAGAGGGGAGGCGTTGGTGCTGGGAGACATATCCAGCCCTCTCCCCGCGGTCGGACCCTACCTTGAGTGCGTGGGGGAGCAAGCTGCCCATGTTCTGCCGCAGCTTCACACCCTGGGGTACCGTGAACCCCCCCGAAAAATACACAGAATATTGAATGTGCCTACGTTTTTCTGAGGGCAGGCCCCGTATATTCTCATCTGGACCACCTCATCCTCAACAGCCTGCCCGGTGACCACACTGCGCTCCACAAGTGTGCTTCTTGTCACTGAGCTTGGTTAGGCCGGACCCTCAAATACCACAATTTTAGTTTGGTCATGACTTTATACGGGCTTTTAGAAGGCATTACCCATCTCCCTGCTTTTCATCTCCTAGGAGACACTCGCAAACTTGGAAAGGCAGATCTATGCTTTTGAAGGAAGCTACCTGGAAGACACTCAGATGTATGGCAATATTATTCGTGGCTGGGATCGGTATCTGACCAATCAGAAGTGAGTGTCAGAAGCTTATTACGATATTCTGAAATGAGCCCTAGTAATACTTTTTAGGATTCTTGTTTCTTGGCTGGAATGAGGCCTGGATTTGAACTTGAATTCTGACTTGGTCTCACCGAGTAGCCTTGAACAAATCCCCTGTCTGTAAAATAGAAACGGTTTGACATGTGGCACAGGGTTGATGAGTTATAAATGAAATGCACCACATGATCACTCCCTATATTAGTGTTTCCACATTTTATTCAGCCTGACTTCCACCTTGTAATTTTTGCCGTACCTGTGTGCCCACTGTACTACTCTGTTGTTTTAGGTGCCATAGAGTCAGCTCCAACCCATAGTGACCATATGCACAAGCCTGCAAAATGCCCTGCACCATCCTCAATTGTTCCTACGCCTGAGCCCATTGGTGCAGCCACTGTGCCAATCCATCTCAAGGGCTTCTTCTTTTGGGCTGCCCTCTATGTCCTTCTCCAGGGACTGGTCTCTCCCGACAACATGTCCAGAGCATGTAAGATGAAGCCTTGCCGTCCTTGCCTCTAAGGAGCACTCTGGCTTGCTTCTTCCAAGACAGATCCGTTTGCCCTCTTAGCAGCCTTGGTACTTTCAATATTCTTCTCCAGCACCACAATTCAAATGTGTCGGTTCTTCTACATTCTTCCTTATTCAATGTCCAACTTTTCACATGCATGTGACACATTGGAATTACCATGGCTTGGGTCACCCACACACACCTTAATCCTCAGAATAACATTCTTGCTTTTCAGTACTCTAAAGAGTCGTGTGCAGCAGATTTGCCTCTTAACATAATATTCTTGGAAGATTTCTAAGCTTGCAAATTATCAGGACTGTAGAAAAAATGGAAGGAATGGTACATAAACATTTGCTAGCCTTTTATATTCTATCATGTTATACTTGCTTTTCCCCTCATTGTCTGGTATGCATTGGACTACTAACCATGGGATTACCCGTTCAAATCCACCAGCTGCTTCCAGAGAGAAGGTTGTGGCTGTCTGCTCGCTTCAGAAACCTGTGTTGCGTTGCTATGAGTTGGGACTGACTCAGTGGCAGTGGGTTTGGTGTGTGTTGTGCATAACTTTTGCTGAAGATAATTAAATGATTGAAAAATAATTAAAAATTTTAAATGGGAACTACCTGAAATTCAAGTCAGGTATGGAATGAGGGACATCCTTGCTGATGTCAGATCTTGCTAAAATCAGGGAATGCCAGAAAGATGTTTACCTGTATTTTATTGACTATGCAAAGCTGCTCGATTGTGTAGATGATAACAAATTATGGATAATATTGGGAAGAATGGGAATTCCAGGACTCTCGAATGTTCTCATGTGGATGGAACCTGTACAAATGGAACAAAAGGACAGCATGTGGTTTGTAATCAGGAGAGCTTTACAGTAGGGTAGTAGTCCTCGTCATTCTTGTTCAGTCTGTGTGCTAAGCAAGTAATCTGAGAGCAAGCTGCACATAGAGGAGGATTCAAGAAGTACTCATTTACAACTTGTGGTGTGCAGATAGCACAGTCTTGCTTGCTAAAATTGAAGATGACTTGAAGCACTTATTGGTGAAGGTCAAAGAGTACATCCTTTAACATGGAATACACTTCAATATGACCCCAAACTTGCTATTGAGTGGATCCCAATGCAGCGACCCTATAGGACAGAGTAGAACTGCCTCTCAGTTTCTCAGACTAAGTCTCCTTGGGAGTAGAGAGCCTGATCTTTCTCCCTTGTGGTTTTGATCTGCTGACCTTGTGATTTGCCACTAACATGCACCCGCCAGGGCTCCTTACTTCAACATAAAGGACACAAAAATCCTCATAACTAGACCAACAGACAACATTATGATAAAGGGGAAAATTTAGAGTTGTCAAGGATTTCAATCGGCATAGAAGCAGCAGACCATTTTTCATTGGGCAAATTTGTTGCTCAAGATCTCTTGTAAGTGTTTAAAATCAAAGAAGGCACTTTGGGGACAAAGATGTTCTGTGGTATTTTTAATCGCCTGACCTATGCAAACAAAAACTGGGCAGTGGATAAGGGAGAAGGAAGCAGAGTCAAAGCATTTAAACTCTTGGCAGAACATTTTGAATCTGCCACAGACCGGTTCCTGGAGAAGAATGCCCTGCTGGGTAAAGCCCCTGGGAGAGATGGATGGACACACTAGCAGCAGCAGGGGGGTATCTAACAACAAACACAAGCCAACTTGATTGGAGATTTGTAGGAAGCTTCAGGATGGTAGTGTCTGGTGTCATCTACGGCACCCAGTTTTCCCCAGTATTGACTTTCACAACCATAGCACAGTATTCTGAGTCGAAAATTGACATGGGAACCCCAGGTGTACATTTCTGTCATTTTACAACTGTAGATTTGACTCCCCGCCACCACCATGAAGGTACAAAACTAGCTCCTCCCATCATGAAGATACCCTTCATGCTTCTCCTTACTTGTCACACCTACCTCCTTCCCCTCATGAACTTTGTTTCTCCTAAACCGTTTGAAAAGCTCCACACAGTAGACCTGTCATGATTCTTCGCTCACAAATATGCCAGCGTGCACTTCTTAGAGTGGGACTGTTTCTCTCGGCCACAATTTTCTCCCTGAGAAATTAACGTTATGTTAACAGTGTCACCTAATACACAGTCTTAATTTTTAATTCACCAGATGCTGTGACTTTGTTTGCATCCAAGGCCTAGTCAGTGTTCAGGCATACTATTGGTCACTGTGTCTCTCTGGTGTTTGTCTTAGCACCAGGGACCCTTTTTTGTGGCTAGTGCTTTTTGTGCCATTGTCTGACAATGCTGTGGGCTCTGGATTCCTACTGCAACCTCGAGTACATTGTTGTCAGCAATGCTCCAACGGTGACGATGCACGACCTCTTGGAGGAGGAGGCACACAATATCAGCTCGCCCTACTCCTGGTGTTGCTCAGTTTGATTGATTCGCCATTGTAAGAATGTCTGTGCTCCTTTGTAATTGAATAATGTGGGCCTATGCAGGCGGTGTGAATGAATATACTGCTCCTCAGACGTTTTATTCAGTGGTTTATTTTACTTTTCTTACTGGCATGCTCAAAAGAGTCTTCCACTTGTGCCCTCTTTCATTCACTGTCTTCTCTTTTCCTCCTCGCTCTCCCGTCTGTCTTATCACTGTGTACTGGCGAATTGAAAAAAAACAACCCAGTGTGTTGGGATTTACTATGTCACTCCCCCCCTCCCCCAGAGGTGTGGTGGTGTGGCTGTCAGTTGGGCTGATAACTGCAAGGTCAGCAGTTTGAAACTACCAGCTGCCTAGAGGGAGAAAGATGAGGCTTTCTACTCCCAGGAAGAGTTAGTTTTGGAAACCCACAGGGGCAGTTCTGCCCTCCTGTAAGGTCGCTGTGAGTCGGAAAAGACTTGCTGGCAATGAGTTTGGTTTAGAGAGACGTCTTATTTTTTTAGTAAAATGTTTGAAATACGTAGAGATGTGTAGAAATGACAAGCCCAGTGACTTCACAACCATAATTATTCACTTTAATGGCTTGTTTGCCCCAAATGTGGCTAGGAGGAGCCTTTGCAGGATTGACACGACCCTGTCAGTCTTAGAACACGGTCCTGCTTTGTGATTTCTCTGGCTCACCTTGTCATTTTTCTGCCCCCGACCTGGAGAAACCCATTTCTCTAAGGAACCCTGGTTTTCCCTTTACAGCTTAAAAACTAAGTTTATTTAACAGACAGCTTCGTAACAGAGACACAGCTAGGTATTTGTGAATTTCTGAGTAGCATCCAAGCGATGACTCAGACGGACTCAGTGACCTACCAAAGAATATCACCCGAGTCTCCGAAATCCTAGCTTCTACTTTTCCATTTCCTCTAGGGCCATGGTGTCATTCAGTGCCACTACGTTAAGTTCACATTGACCCATGTGACAGTAGAATTGCCCCTCAGGAGCCCTGGTGGCAAACTCAACAGCCAGTCCAAGGGAGAAAGATGAGGCTGTCTGCTCGCACAGGGATTTACAAAGCCTCAGAAACCCTTCAGAGGGGTCGCTGTGCATCAGAATTGACTGGCAGTCCGAGAGGAGTCACTGCTTTGCTGGCAGTGGATGGGCTCTTAACCTGTACTGGGCAGATCACCAGGCCTTTGTTCTGCAGAGCCACTGGCTCTGTTAGTTGGCAGCCGAGCACTTAATTGTCGCACCACCAGGTCTACTTACAAGGACCATAGTGTTCTTTGTTGTGTGTAGGCCTGTATGTGTGGATACCACATCTCTTTGGCAACCTCTTCATCTGTGTCTGTGTACGGCCTTTATCAATCTCTTACCCATTTTTTGGTTTCAAAGATTTTTTTCTTTCTGGGCCTGTTTGTACATAATCTTCATCTGAATTATCTTTTTTGCGCTCTTCCCTTGCTCTTCTTCATTCCTTCTCCTTCCTCTTTCCCTTCTGTTAATGACGGTGTTTCAAATTATTAAATAAAATGTCATATCCCCAGTTCTTCATTTTGAAAACAGATGAACTGAATGGTTTATTTTCTCTAAGCAACAAGTCCACCTGAAAGTAGTTCTTCCTTGGGAGTGGCCGTTAATTACGGTGCCATTCTTTGATGGAACGTGGTAGGAAAATAAATTTAACACTTGACCCTGGGCTATTCATTCTCGAACCTGAACCATAGACCTAGCTCGGTGCTTATGAGTTTCTTCTGTGTGTTGTAGAAACTCCAACAGCAAAAACGATCGAAGGAACCGGAAGTTTAAGGAGGCTGAACGACTCTTCAGTAAATCCTCAGTGACCTCAGCAGCTGTAAGTCCGGCCGGGGTGGCGGTGGGCTCTTTCCGCAGCCCATTGTTGAGGATAACCTCAAGTTTCATTTCTGTGAGCTTTCGCTTTTCCTGCCTCCCTTCCTGAGTGGTTGCCGGAGGTCTGTGATGATTTCTTTAGTAATTGCGGGTGTTTGTTTTTTTTTAGGCAGTAAGTGCACTGGCAGGAGTTCAGGACCAGCTCATTGAAAAAAGTAAGTTAGGTTTTTTGTTTTTGTTTTTTACTTTCTCATTATTTTTAGGCCACTACAGTCCCTCTATTTTGTCCCCCTCCAGCTGTGTGTCTGAGAACTACATCTCTTGATTCTTGCCCCCTCTTCTCTACAGTTAGCAGTGCTCTTGGGTACTCCTGGGTGATTCATTGTGGTTGTCTTTTGAGGAAGAAACTGCTGTGTTCTTCCACCTCGGACCATTTAAAAGTTGACTTTAAATGAGGAGAGACAAAGCTCGGTCCTCAGCCCTGATCAGCCCTGGCTGTTGCCCACTGCACTGCAGAGTGGAGCTGCTCCACTGCATTTTCTGGACTCAGCAGGTCACCAGGCCTTTCTCTCCTGGTGCTGCTGGGCCAGTTGGAGCGGGCAACTTGGGGGTTTAATAGCGGAGCACAAACTGTTTGTGCCCCAGGGACTTTCATCCCTGATAAGGCTTTTAAATTCTTACAGACTACCCTTCTCTCACTACTTTAAAATTAAAGGAAAAGGGAGAAAGAAAACTTCGAACATGCTTATGTGGAAATGGCTTCGGGGTTGCAGCAGACCTCCTCCAGCCTCCATAGCTTGTTGCCTCCACACTCCATCCTTGTAGATTCTGTTTTGACACCAACAGTTCCTCCCGTGGCACTACACTCATTTCTCTGCTGGGTTAAAAAATTCATGGCAGTGACCACACGGAGCTCAGACAATGTTCATGATTGTGAGGCTCACTTGGGGAGCCTACAGGTTATCGTTGAGGTGAGATGTCAGGATACACTGGTTCAGTCAGGACACTTTTATTTTCTGCTGTGCCTGCTGGCAGGCCTCTCTCTGACCTTCAACCTCTGCCCTGCTCATGCAATGGTGAAAAGCTAGGCGCTTGACTCAATGGATGTATGTATGGACCGTGATAAGAAATGTACGAGCCTTCAATAAAATAATTTAAAAAATAAATAAATATTTTTTAAAAAGCTTTAGGGCTGCCAATAAGTGCCTGAAAGGCATGCCCATTTCACTGTGAACTCCCCGGGTCAGCAGACCCAGCTCCCCCAAACCCAGTACCCACAGGCACTCCGCTCCACAAACCAGCCGCTTGCCCCAGAGCACTCACCTTTACTTGTAGCTCCTGCTGCTGCTCCTCTACCACTGCTCTGGTGTCACGTGTCTTCCGGATTAAGGGGGTCAATGAGCAGGGCTTTCAGGGCTCTGAAGAGACCAGGCATATTCCTGGCTCGTTTTTTGCCGGTAGTGACATTCCCCTGCATGTTTCTCAGAGCTCTCATTCTATTCCAATAAGGTGGCAATCACAGTTAAGCTTCTTAATCACTCGCAGCTGAATCACACAATCCGCTCACTTCCCCACCTTCCTACCCAGACCATCAGGAAAAGAAAGGTTCATTTGGGAGTAATCAAAGCTAAGGCTGGAAGAGCCATATTAAAGAATTCACTATATTGCACTTAATAAATCCCACTGAACTCATTTAAGTAATTATTCTTTGATAATTTTGATCTTGTAAACAGATTGTATGTTTGTCTCCAAATATAAAGTGGAGATTAGAAAATATTTGCTTTGAAGATGAGTCATGTCATTCTTGATATAAGCCATAGTCTCACTCTTCTCTGATTTCGTGACAGCATAGAGCCCTGCACATCGACCTTCCTGTGTCAGACTCCATGCGGAGCCCTGTTGGATGCTTCCTCTATAATTTGGAATACAGTCTGCCATGCAGTCTGTTACTCTACATCATGGACGTAGCCTTCCTTCAAATGGTTTGTCTTAGGAACTGGAGTTCTTTTGATGGCATTTGAGCCAAGGCTTTGAGGGAAAGGATTTTTAAGGGGAAAAAGATCATTTTATTGGGGGCTCGTACAGCTCTCATCACAATCCATACATACATCGTGTCAAGCATATGTTGCCATCATTTTCAAAACATATTCTTACTACTGGAGCCCTTGATGAGGAGAGAATTTTGTAGTCTGGGAATTAGAACTATTATTATCTCCATGTTACAGATTTCTAAACCATTTGTTCTGTCCCCAACCTTTTCAGCTGTGGTCATGCATTTTCTTCTGGAAATACCCATGCAGATGCATTAAAAAAAAAAATCAAATAGTTCTCTCCCCCGTTCCCCTAAATTTGCCCAGTTCGTTATGGTACTTTTCTCTCATTTAGAACTTTGTAGGCATTTTTAACTAATTTCTCCCAAACCTTACCCGTCACACTAAATCTTTGATTTTTCTTTTCCCGTAACTCTTGGGTAGATTTTTTTTTTTTTTTCTTTCAATTGGTTACTCTTAAACTGTTGAGATAGTTTATTGTGCCAGCCTGGCTGATAAACACAAGTGGGATTAACTGAAGGGCAGAGAGATAAATGGCTTGGTGAGCCTTGCCTTTCTTGTCTCTCGCTCTGTGATCATCGGACCAGTGTGTGGCTGCCTTGCTTGTTCTGTGCCTCAATTTAAAGGCTACACTGCCTGTGGGACGCCTAGCCTGTGGACTGTGTCGCTGTAAGTTGAGGTCCCTTTAAGACATCTCTGGAGCTGGGCACTGGTGGTTGGTGACCTGCCTTGTGATTGGCTGCTGTGCTGACATAGCCTAGCTCTCTCTACAAATAGAGGAAGGTCTGCCAACAGACTAGACTTGAAGGACTGTTAGTCTCTCACAACTCTCTCTCACGGGAGTGAGTTGCAGTGAGCCATTTGTAGTGCTTTATAACTTAAACCGTTCATTTCTTGTATTATATATTTATCTGTATATGATTTAACAGTTCATTTCTTGTTATATATCTAATTATCTTTATAAATAAATATATTATCAGCAATTTGGTTTTATCTCTCTAAAGAACCCTGTCTAATACAACTGTAGACCTACATCATCATCTTTGTTTGGAGTAATGAGACTGGTTAAAGGACATCCTTGACCTCATTCCTCTGGATTGAGGTGGAATGAATTTCTACTTAGGTGGAGGTATCCTTGATTGACGCCTCTGTTTGCTGAGGACTTGCAGTCCGTCCTGGCTCAGTTGGTAGTTCTGTGTATGGCTCTGTACTGAGCTATCCACCTGGATCAATCATCCAAGGGACTACCTTCAGAAGCTTCATGGAGCCAAATGTTTACATAGTGAAGATTTTTGGGATCCTTTGCAGGCCACCCATTCCTCTAAAGCAGCGGTTCTCAACCCGTTGGTTGCAATCCCTTTGGGGGTCGAACGACCCTTTCGCAGGGGTCGCCCAATTCATAACAACAGCAAAATTGCAGTTATGAAGTAGCAACGAAAATAATTTATGGGTGTGTGGTGGGGTGGGGGGAGGGTCACCACAACATGAGGAACTGTATTAAAGGGTTGCAGTATTAGGAAGGTTGAGAACCACTGCTCTAAAGCCTTCTTCCTGGATCACACTACACCCCTGGGATGCATCTGTGCAGTTGTAATTAATGTTGTCTGTTTTACCTCTGGGTTCTGTTATCCATTGCAATGGTTACACAGAACTCACAGACAAAATTCATGATTAAAGACTTCATTAAGGAAGCCTAACAAGTTGTGATGCCGGTGAGAAATGCTCGGAGTTGAGCTCTTGAGCAGAATATGTTACAAAGTTCTTTCAGATCTGCTAATACATGCCCAAAGGGGCATTCAACTCAAGCTCTCTGGGGTCAGCAAACCTAGCTCCCTGAAATAAGTGCCTGGAGCCACCCCACTCAGTGCCTCTGAAGGCACTCACTCCACTTCTGTGGGTCAGCAAGCTCAACTTACCCGATTAAGTGCCCAGAGGCGCCCTACTCCACAAACTTGCTCCATGGACTGGGAAGGCCATCAGTCTGTTCCATGCTCTGGCTTCTGGTTCTGCAGCTGCTCCTCTGATGGTATGGCTGTCTTCTGGATCCAGGAGTTCACCGTGTAGGGATCTCAGGTCCCGAGGACACGCTCCTGGCTCTTGCTGGTAATGAGATCCCTTCTCCCTTTTTAGAGGACTCATTTTATACACGGCAGGATGGCATGCCAGGAAATCCTGTTCCCAATCCCTCACAGGTGAAACCTATCAGTATCTTCCCCAAACTTTTACCAGACCCATGCAGGAAAAGGTAATTGGTGGGAGTTGAAGACTGTGTAGAAGAGCCACATTATGTAATTCACTGCTCCTGCACACCATATTCTATTTTTGGCCTGCCTTATAAAGTTGATTTTGCTAAATTATACTTGGGGGATGTCCTGTATTTACTGGGAGGTGCTGGAGGTGTTTTTTACTATCACTGCTCACTTCTTCAGGAATAGCTGTTTTCACTGAGTAACTGGCTGGCCTTGGCTGGAACCCTTGCAGTGGACTCTGGGTAGGTGTTCAAATGTGGAAGGCCACATCCGTGGTCCCTTCTGAAGTGCGTAGGCATTAGAAGAAGCATCTGGGAAAGAATCCTTATGGCTTTCTCAGTCTACGTTTACTCTGCTGGCCTTTGCTATAGCAGTCTTGGCGCCATCGACTCTTGTTTTGGAATAAAGCAGAGTATCCAGAATCACACAAGTTCGGGATTTTGTGCATTCATACGGTCAGCACCCCATTTTCTTGTGCGCTGTGCTATCCTCACCACCGCTTACATGCTGAGTGCTGGTTTGTCTTGTTTGTGTCTTGACTTTCTTCAGCTCACTATGATGTGGCCGAGTGTGAATTTCTCTTTATTTATTGGGCTTGGGTTTTACTGGACTTCTGGAAACTTTCCCAGCCCTTGTCTCTTCAGATACCGCATGGGCTCGCTCTCGTCTCCCTCTGATATGCTGGTTAACCGTTACATGGGGCAGTAAACCTGATTTTACCTTTTGTCATCTCTTCTAGAGAGTGTTTTGTTTCTTTATCTGTTGCCCTTGAATTTTGTTGTCTGTAGTTATTAATCCTTCCAGTGGTAACTGATCTTCTATTGAACATTCCATGATTTTTTAAAAAAAGCGTTATTTCTTAATTTTCCAGAAATTCTATCTTTTTGTTTTAACTCTGCTGTTTAATTTTAAAAG